GTTCGTGTTCCACTGTCCCACTTCCCATCCAGCTTCCTGCCTGTGGCCTGAGAAGGTAGTGGAGGATAGTTCAGGTCCTGAGGGACTTGTGCCCGTGTGGGGGGACTTGGAGGAGGCTCCTGTCTCCTGGCTTTGGTCCCCTTGGCTCCAGCTGTTTTGGCCACGTAGGGAATGAACCTTAGGATGGAGGATCTTTCTCTCTGTCTTTCCATCTCTGTAAATCTGTTTTTAAAAATTGCCTTATTCTGTGGTATTAAGGATATTGGGTATGTATCATTCAGCTTTAATATTAAAAAATTATTTCTTTGTACTTACTGTTAGTTAATCAAACGTTTATTTTTATTCATGCTGATTCGGTCTTGGGGTTATGAGAAAATTTCGATTAAAATTCTATTTGCCCAACTGCAATCGCTCCAGGTTTGTGGGCAACTTTTTTTTTTCTTGCTATGTTAGTAACAGTTTAAGATGTGGTCATACTGAATAGCAAATTGAAACTTCAAATTTTAATATTTGGTAAGTAGTGCCTGTTGATAACTTAATTATATCTTTTGTGATAGCAGATGTTTAAATATTTATATGTATGTATATATCAGTTGTTTTGGACACTGAGGAATATAAAAATTAAAATGATTTTTCTAATTGAGAAAAGGAACATGCATAATTTGGAAATGCTCATTATATTGACACTTGCCCCGAATGTGAATTCTATCATGTTCAAAAGTGTAAGAAAATAAACAGTCACGCTTTTCAGTATTATTATTTTTTTAAAATAACCTTCAGTCCTCACAAATTCTTTCATTTGACCCTCTGCTTTATTTTTTTTGTTTGTTTTGAAAAAAAAAAATCAGCCATGAAACTGCTTTCAGTGATTTGGCTGCCATCACCTTTATGGACGTAAAAGGAAGTACAATTCAGGTATCGCCTCTGGAGCAAGAGTGCCGGGCTTGACCAAGCACCTCCAGATCCAACTGAGGCCCAGTTGGCACGTGGTTTTGAACTTCGTTTTTTCCATCTGTAAAACAAATAATCTAGATTTCATCTTATTTTATTTTTTAAAAAAGATTTATTTATTTTTATTGGAAAGACATATGCAGAGAGGAGGAGAGACGGTGGGGAAGATCCCTCTGTTGATTCACTCCCCAAACAGCTGCAACAGCCAGTGCTGTGCCGATCCAAAGCCAGGAACCAGGAGCTTCTTTCATGTCTCCCACGCGGGTGCAGGTCCCAAGGCTTTGGGCCGTCCTTGACTGCCTTCCCAGGCCACAAGCAGGGAGCTGGATGAGAAGTGGGGTCTCTGGTATTAAAACCGGCACCCATACGGTGTCCCGGTGCGTGTGAGGCGAGGACTTTAGCCACTAGGCCACCATACCAGGCCCTAGATTTCATTTCAATTATTCATTCTAATTCCTGCATTCTGTTAATTTGAGACTTTGAGGAAACGTAATGCTTTTAATTGTCTGTGTTTCTCTTCTGTTGCAGTTACAATCAGCAAGTATTTTTGTTCAGACTAACTGAAGCTAAATGCCTAGGGATGGAGTTTGGATGTGTATACTTTATGTTTTGAATAAATAGAAGAATAAACACACACACATACACACACACACACACATTTTTATTTCTTGTACAGCTCCATAGCAGCTGATTCCAACTATTTAGCTTGAAAGATATATATATATTCCTAAGAACTCTGTCGTTAGCACCTTCAGCTTACGAACAGTTTAGGATTAGGACTAACAACATCTATTGCCCTCTGGAAATAAAATCTTATTATAGTTTGAGATGTTAACCTACTTACTAGCGCTTCTTAGTTCCACTGGAATCTAGTGCTCTCTGGTCAGCTGTGTGGTGTTCACAGACTTCCGTGTCTTGAGTGCTGTTTCTTTCAGCAGGATGACTGTTGTCATATTGGAACTGTTGTTGCACATTAGCCTTTTCAGAAATAGTTGATTATCTATTTTTGCCCCCTTGTTCTTTAATTTCATTCAGTTTCTATTTTCTGTTTTTGTTTCTATCCTGGTGAACCAAACTGATAACCTTCAACTTTCTATGCTTCTTTCATTACCAGACCATTAAAATGATTGGTAAACATTTTTCCCACTGAAACTTTTGCTTCAAGTGCAAATCATGTTTTTAGTGCAGCAGAAGAGACTGGATCGAAGTTTGCAGGGTTTTTGTTCTGTACGTTAGTGCCTCGAACTCCTTAGACCCGGTAACATTGGAGCCTGGTGGTTCTGGAACGGAGACAGTCCATTTTGTGGAGTATGCCTCTGTCTTAATTAACAAATGTGATATTTATTAATAAAGTTTGTGTTCTTTTTAGCATGAAAATAGGTGGATAAGTTTGAGACAAATTTGCTAATATGATTACAGTTTAAACAGACACAGAGGTTGACCGATCAGAGAGAGGGTTCTACATTTGATACCAGTGGAATTGTGAGAACTTTGATTTTTTTTAGTAATAGTTTTTGGATAGCTCTTTTCCATATTAGCATTAAAGATGCAGAGCGTTCACATTGTATTGGCATTTGTAAATATACTTTGTCTTTCTCTTGGTGTCAGGTGTATATTTGCAGGAACTCTACCATGTCTCTTTTCTACTTTTCCACCAATAGTTCATTTATGTCAAACTTAAATGCAGTTGACATTGCAAGGCCTACATGAAAAATATCCTTTATATTTGTTACGGTTTTTATTTATTATTCAGTTTATTTAGTACATAAATTGGGAATAAATATAAAACCAGAATATAGACCTAGTGGTATTTCAAGTTTTTTTTTTTTCCCACCAACTCTTATTTTGGATTAGTAACTGCAATTAAAACATTTTTTAAAAAGATTTACGTGTTTTACTTGGAAGTCATAATTACAGAGAGAGGGAAATGAAGAGAGGGAGATGTTCCATTCATTGGTCCACTCCCAAATGGCTGGAGCAGCTGGAGCTGGAAATCAGGAACTTCTGCTCTAGCAGTGCAGTGGCCCCCAGTCATGGGCCTTCCTCTGCTGCCTTCCCAGGCCATAAGCCAGAGAACTGGATCAGAAGTGGAGCAGCCGGGATTTGAACTGGTACCCGTATGGGATACTGGCAGTGCAGGTGGGAAATTAGCTGCCACACTGTTCTTCACCCCACACTTTTTTTTTCCAGTTGTTTTATTTTGAATGTTCATGATTTATCTCAAGATTTACAGAGTTACAGAGAGTTGGAGAGGTGGTGAGGTCTCACTCCCCAAATGGCTGTCATGGCCAGCACTGAGCCAGTCTGAAGCTGTGAGCTGGGAGCTTCCTCCTGGTCTCCCATTAGCATGCAAGGACCCAAGGCCTTGGGCCATCCTCCACTGCCTTCTCACGCTATTAATAGAAAACTGGATTGGAAGGCGAGCATCTGGGACTTGAACTGGCACCTATATGTGATGACAACACCTCTGGCAGAAAATTAGCTTATTCGGCTAGCACGCCTATTCCCTTCTAGAAATTTAATTTCTGCATCTAGAAATTTAAAGGTTTTTTTTTTTTTTTTTTTTGGAAAGGCAGATTTACATAGTGAAAGAGAGACAGAAAGACAGAAAGATGTTCCATCTGCTGGTTCTCTCCCCAAATGACTGGAAATCTGAAGCTGAGCCAATCTTAATCCAGGAACCAAAACTTCTTCCCACAGAGGTGCAGGGTCCCAAGACATGGGGCCAGCCTCTGCCTGTGCAGGCCATAACTCGGGAGCTGAGTAGGGACCAGCCTCTGCCTTTGCAGCCATCAGCCGGGAGCTGAGTGGAGCGGCTGGGGTGCCAGGAACTCATGGGGAAGATTAGCATGCAATGCCACCATGCCAAGACCACCTCACCCCTTCTTTTACTCTAAAACCCCAACCCCTAATGTAGAAATTTGAAAACAAATTTGATCAGTTAACTGTAGCAATGAGGTACTTTTTTAAAAGTTGAATTTATATGTAGGATTCAAGGGAATTGAATATTTTTGAGACATTGGGAATCTTAATTTTGTATATCAAGCTGTATCAGAATAAAACATTTAGATAACAATGATTTCGTTCATTTGCTGAACAAAATGCTACAGAAATTACATCACCAGATAATATAAAACTTTTGTCTCTATAAGTCAGATATGTTAAAATTTGAAGTTAACCTTTTTTTTCTTACTTTACCTTGGGAGTACACTTTATATGAAAATAAATTGTTAATGTTTATAGGACAATAGTTTACAAAAAGGTGTTTATGTAACTTGTATATGTGAGCATCCATATGTATGGCTCCTCTAGGGCACAGAAATATTAAAATAAATTTCTTGCTCTTAAAAACTTGTGGAAAACATTTCAGTGACTTTTATGTCTTTTTGCCAAACATCTAAAAAATGGTTCAGCATTCTTTGAAAATTCAAAAAGGGGAGTTTGCTTATTGCGTGCTCAATAATTGGTAGTAGATTAGATTATCCACCTGTTGGAGTATTACCTGTTTTAAGATGTACCTTTGTTTTTGGAGAACCGAATTAGAATGTCCTGGAGTAGGCATTTAGTCTAGTGGGTTGATGCCTGCAGTCCACATTTTGGAGTGACTGGCTTTGATTCCCAGCTCTGGCTTCTGACTCCAGCTTTCTGCTGTTGCCAGCCCTGGGAATCAGCAGTGAGTGCTAAAGCAGTTGGTCTCCTGGCACGCGTGTGGTAGACCAGGATGGCGCTCCCTTGCTTTCCGCTCAGGCTTTGGCCCTGACTTGGTAGCCCCAGTGTTTTGGGCATAATAGTGAGCCAACCATGGGTACTTCCCCCCTTTTTCTGTCTGCCTTTCAAATAGTCATCAAGGGCAGAGGTCTCCTGTATGATCTTCACACCTTACTTCCTGTGTTATATCATAGCACCATAGCGCTTCATTGAACATTTGTTAAGATGATAAAATTTAAATTTTTCTGACTTTCAAAAATAGTTTGTTTTTATTGTGGGAGAATGCCTTTACTGTGATTTTATTGGATTTGTTTTTTGTTTTTGTTTTTGCCTTTTTACAGCCCCATTGACAAACCTTCAGATTCTCTCAGTATAGGGAATGGTGAAAATTCCCAGCAGGTAAGAATTGAAGAAGGTATTGTTTTATTTCTCTACCATAGTTCCCAAATAAGATATCTGATCTAAGTGATTTTTCTACAAATATTTTAAATACTGACAAAATTAGAAGAATTTTGGTGGATATCTTGATGAATGTATTATCTCAGAATATATTTGAGCATCCTTTAGCCCTTTTTTTAAAAAAATAATTACAGACATACATTGTTGCACTGAATATAATATAATACAATATGAAGTATAATATAATATAATATAAGTTTGCTGATGTTACTATTCTTCTTACCCCTATAGCAAATGGTCCCAGTCCAGCATTCCTTCTGAATTCATGCCTTTAAGACTGACTTCTATACCACATACTCCTTTTATCCCTTTGTAATTTTAATTTTCTCTTTGAGTCAGTGTTCTTCCCCCTAGCAACTTTGCTGCTTACTTGTAAATGCCTGACACCTTTAAGATAAACTACTCAAAGTTGTTTATATCACCTTCAAAAATAAGTTAGGTACTGATCGTCAGAACATGGTTTCTGTCATTTTGTCTTTGCTCAAGGAATTTTTTTTCTGCTAGTTTTCTTAAAATGTTTAAAATGTTTATGTATATCTCTTGCCTAGGCGTAATTCAGTTCTAACATTTTCCATAAAGAATGGCTAGTTTCCCACAGAGTATATGTTAAAAACTTAGGCAACCAATACAGTGCTTTGCTAAACTTTTAACTCACTAATTCTATAAAAGAATTTGAAAATGTGTATCTCCCCTTATGTATTTTAGAAAACATTACCATTTTATCATTAAGTCAGAAGTTGTTGCTAAAAATGTAATTTCCAGCATATGTATTGTGAGTTTTTCACCAGTAGTGTTATATCACTATGAAATAAATATCTGAGAAAGTTAATGTTTTGGTAACCCAACAGAATCTTCAACAGATCTTTTTTTAAAACTGGAAATGTTACTTTATTTCTTTTTCCTTCCTGAGCTTTTCTACTTCTCTTACCATTATGTTGGTGTTTGAAAAACCTGTGTATATAAAAAAATAGGAAGTTTTTAAAAGATGTTATTTATTTTTATTGGAAAGGCAGTTCTATGGAAAGAAGGAGAGACACAGAGAAAGATCCTCCGTCTACTGGTTTACTCTCCATGTGGCCACAATGGCCGGAGCTGAGCCAATCTGATGCCAGGAGCCAGGAGCTTCTCCCACTTGGGTTGCCAGGTCCCAAGGCTTTGGGACATCATTTACTGTATTTCCAGGCTACAAGCAGGGAGCTGGAAGAGAAGTGGAGTATCTGGGATATTAACTGGTGCCTACATGGGACCCTGGCACATGCAAGGCAAGGATTTAGCCACTAGGCCATTGTGCTGGGCCAAAAATAGGAACATTTTAAAATTGAAATACAAATATTTTTGTTGTTAGTAAGTTTTAAGTTATATATTTGAATTTCTGTTAGTATTTTGGAGTTTGACCAAAAGAGTATGCACAAGTATACATACAGATTTAGATACAAGTTGAGCATTAGACAAATCTTAAATAAATTATAATGGAAATTCACCTCTTAATAAGATGAATAGAGCCATTTTAAAATTAGTTTTCACATGTTCCTATTGGTAAAGTGAGGCAAGTTTCACTGGCAATTATTTTTTTCTATTAAAATTAAGCTATTTTAATATTCAAATTATTTAAATATCGGTAAATTCTATTCAGGACTATTAGAAGTAAATTCAGTAGATTGTCTTTCTTAGAGTAACAAGAGTGGGTGTGGCAGAAGAGAAATGGGTATCAAGAGTTTTGCAAGTGACCTCCCCAGGCAGGGTACTCATCCCAGCTTGTTTTGAATGACAGCCCTGTACCCCTGGTCTCATTAGCAGTTATTTTTTAAGATGTAAATACTTAGGTCCCTTGCTCATTTATAAGCAGCTGGAAGAAGGAGTAGTATTATAGCAATATCATTCAATATTTGGATGTTATCTGAATTACATAAGAATCATAAAGAGGCATAAGATTACATTTTAATGTTCATGGTTATTGAAAACTAAAAAAAAAATTGAAATTGGCTAGTTTGCAAAAGGATTTAGGTTTTGGAATTAATGTACTTTCTATCCGCATTCTTGATTATTTCTCATAATTTAGGCACTTGAAGGTTGTTACTCTTGAGCAAAATACTGAAGTAAACTCTCAAAGACTGAGAAATATTCTTGTAAATTGAGAGACTGGGTAAGATAAATGAAAGGAGACTAGTGTTTTCAGACAGATCAGTTTTTGAGAAGAATACATATCAAGTTAGTTGTTGACCTAGCTTCATGTGTTCATGAGAAAGTTTTCAAGTGCTGTGAAGATGACTTTTCTGGAGTATTAATTATAGATCTTGATTATAGGCTATTAAAATGTATACATTTATGCTGATTCCTTCCTTTTCCTTTTTTATTTAGATATCTAACAGTGACACACCTTCACCACCACCTGGTTTATCCAAATCTAATCCAGTCATCCCCATCAGCTCATCAAATCACAGTGCACGTTCCCCTTTTGAAGGGGCAGTAACAGAGTCACAGTCATTATTTTCAGACAATTTTCGCCATCCCAACCCTATTCCAAGTGGGCTTCCTCCTTTCCCCAGCTCCCCACAGACGTCCAGTGACTGGCCGACAGCACCAGAACCACAGAGTCTCTTCACATCAGGTACATAGCTGTAGCATAGCTGCTGGTAACCAGGCGCTGAGCGTGTCATTAATAGACCGATGTCAAACTCGTGGGCTTGGATGTCTTTTCATACTTTATCTACTCCCTCTTGTTAAACATAAGCATCTAAATTGTATGAATTTAGAAAGCCATATAAATTTTTGCATGACCCTGAAGTTTTTCCTGTACGATTATATCCTTTTCCCAATACTGAAAAGCTTGTCCTTCTGGGAATTATTGAAGTCTTGCATTTTTTTTAATTAGAATTGTGCTTCTATAGTTGAATTTGAGATTCAACAGAAAGAGTTAAGTTATGTTAACAGGAGAAGTTATTTTTGACATTTTTTGTGCTATTTCCTGTTTGCTCATTATAAGTTATTAATGTGAAAAGTGATATAAAAGTGATATCAAGAACAGCACCTATACTGCAGACCAACAATTCTAAGAATTTACTGTAGTACTTTTTAATTAGATTACATTTTCTTAATAGTTTGTAAAGATTGTGTTCAAAATTACCTTTACTTTGCCAATGCTAACTACCTTAAAAAAAAAACTTATTTTAAAGAAGACTTCTTTGAAAGAGTTACACAGAGAGAGGGAGAGAGCATTCATCCACGGGGTCACTCCCCATAGGATGCAATGGCTAGAGCTGGGCCAGCACTTCACATGGGTCTCATATGGATGCAGTGGCCCAAGGTGTTTGGGCCATCCTGCTTTGCTTTCCCAGGCCGTAACCAGAGAACTGGATTGGAAGTGCGGCAGCCATGCCTTGAGCTGGCACGCACATGGGATACAGACACTGTATCTGGAGGCTTCTCCTGCTATGCCATGTTGCTCACCCCTGAAATTAGTTACGTAAAAAGTTGCTACTAGAACTAACATTTACGAGGTCTTCTATGATTGTATGATTTTGACATGCTAAGAGATCGTACTGAGTTTGCCTATGCTTATTGTGTGACGTAAGAATGAGCTTCTATCTACGCTGTTTTTCTTCCTGACAGAAACAATACCAGTATCATCCTCTACAGACTGGCAAGCAGCATTTGGCTTTGGTTCTTCTAAACAACCAGAGGATGACTTGGGGTTTGACCCCTTTGACGTCACTCGAAAAGCCTTAGCAGACCTGATTGAGAAGGAACTGTCCGTCCAAGACCAACCTTCCCTTTCGCCCACATCTCTTCAGAACTCCTCTTCACACACTACAACCGCCAAAGGCCCAGGCTCTGGATTTCTGCACCCTGCTGCGCCTGCAAACGCCAACTCTCTCAGTAGTACCTTTTCGGTCTTGCCACAGAGGTTCCCTCAATTTCAGCAGCACCGAGCGGTTTATAATTCGTTCAGTTTTCCAGGCCAGGCAGCCCGTTATCCTTGGATGGCCTTTCCACGCAATAGCATCATGCACTTGAACCACACAGCAAATCCCACCTCAAATAGTAATTTCTTGGACTTGAATCTCCCGCCACAGCACAACACAGGTCTGGGAGGGATCCCTGTAGCAGGTAGGTTCATTTAAAGCCTTCGAGAATTCGTGAATAACTCATAACTTCAGCCTACTGGGTGGGCAGGGAGGGAACTGCAAAATAACTGAAAGTGCTTAATGTTATACTTGAAAATTTCTGTGAAAACAGTCTTTATTATGATTTTAAAGGGAGTTTTCTTAAGTTTTTGATTGGATGGATGCCTTGTAATATTGAGCTTTATGAGGATGGTGGAGTATTATACCTAGTATTGTTTGGAATCATTTTACTGAAAAGGATAGTTACTAAACTTTTATGTGATATCTAAATGTAGAAAGAAGAAGAAAAGGGGCTATAGATTATTGTACTATGAAGTCTAACATCATGGTGAAAAAAAATCTAAGTTTTACATTTCTAGGTGTAAAGTGATTTAAAAAATTTAATGACTAACTCTGAGAGCATAAGGAATAAAGCCACTCTGCTTTTGGTAATTATTTTGACTGAATACATACACACTTCAAAACTACTATCTTTGTAAAATGCTCCATTTGAAAATTAGTAATATTTCAGAAACATATCATATGTCACAGACACATAGTTTCTGTGAAGCATAAATTGTTTAGGGAGAGATATTTTCCTTTTTGGCTTGCCATATTTTTATTTGTAGGGGAAGATATTAGATGTATACTAGGTAATAAAGATATGATGCCAGAATGCTTCTCATTTTGCACTGCTACCCTTGATGGTTTCAGAACTTTGGGGTTTAAAATTCCATGTAGTAATTTTTATAGTAAGTGTCTTCTGTGTCAGGGAATCATTATATTAAGGATATTCTTGTTTAATTTGGTCCTCGGAGATGATGTAGTCTTCTCATTCTTTTAGGTACAATAGGCTAGTCCCTCTCTCTGGCGTAATGTGTGTAGATAGTTTCTGTCCTTGTCTTAGGCTTAAGCTTGACCTGGCACAGCACAATGTTAAAATTGGAATAGTGTGCTGTTACCATTATTGCATTCATTTTTTTTTTTCCCACATGATAGATGAAATCTGTAGAGATCCATGCTAATTCCTAGGCTTTATTGTTCTTGGGGACCAAGAGCAATTTATATTGTAGACAAACAGTTGGGTTAAGAGTTTAATTTGTGAGCACTCATACTGTAAAGTTACCCTTGATACAGGAAGTTAATTTGCAAAAGCTTTAAAGCACCTAATGGAGTGAATTGCAAATCAGTGGGGTTCATATTTGTTCACTGAACTGTGGTAATTCATACATAATCCAGAATTGAATTTTTGAGTTCTCTTTCTTCTTCATATTCACTTATGAAACACAATAGATGTTCAGTTCCTGGTGGTTTTTTTTTTTCTCCCCTTCTTTCTTTCACTAAGCATAGCGTGTTAGAATCCAACCCTGCCTTCTCTCTTTGGTTTGATCATTCAGAGTATAGTGTTTTGATTGGTAGAATATCTCATAATTAATTATAACATTCAAAGTTAAAGTTCCCCTTAATATTTTAAACATTTAAAAATAAGATGTTGCAGCAATTACAAGGAATATTTGGTGCATGTTTTCCCATCCATGAACGGGACAGTGTAGGTACTAGAAAAGAGATCCAATGTGTGTGTACTATTCACAGGTTCTTTACAGTATAGTTCAAGAGGTAAAATCATGTAAATTTGGTAACTGTACATACGGTGCTGCAGTCAGAGACATTCATGCAGCCTACAGCGTTAGGGGAGGCAGAATTTCTTTGGAATAAAAATCGATCTCTCTTATGGTATCTTTGCTTTTGGTTAGCAGCCAGGGAAAAGACCTTTTATGTTGATGGAAACTCTTGAATAAAGGTGTAGAGGCAGGAACTAGTATGTCATTAATATTAAAAAGCAGGAGGGTTACCTTCCAAAACAGGAGGTGCTTCTTCAGTTGTAGAAGAAGAGCAGTTCTGTGAGTGAGGTGACAGTGGTGATGTGACACAGGACTCTTAACTCTTGGCTGTCTTCACTTTCATGTCACTTAAGACCATCTTCAGATATATTTTCTGTTCTTCCAGTTACTTAGTCAAGATGTTACTCAATAGCACTGAAAAGCAGTTCTTATCTAAATGTTTCAAGCCAGTAGATATTTTGAAAATACAATGAGAATAATGAAAAATCACTGGTTTGTAAGTATAGTTTTCTTCATGTTAGTCATTTGAACTCTTCATCTATAGTCAGCATTTTATAGTAGAAGGACATTAATTATAGTCCTATCTTTCAGACTTTTTTCTTTTATAATATATAGAAGAAGGTTTTTTCAGAGATGATAAAAATTAAGTCACCAACTTCAGGTTCGCAAGCATTATTGTGTTTGGTGAGGGTGGGGAGAACTGGTTATTTCCAGATTTTTAGTTTTGGGCTATGTATACATATTTGGTGTTTAAGTGGTGACTTGTGGTCAATCTTATTAGAATATTTTTAGAGCTTAAATGGATAGAAAAATTTAGTTTTAATGCGCCAAATATTTAAGTTTGACAGAGACACACCAAAATCCTCTCATGGCTTAGAATATTTAGTTGATCATGTACCAAGTCTTAGAGCAAAGTAGTTGTATGATTATAGCAGGTTGTTTAAGATTTTCAATAACTGTTAGAAATAACAAGAGGTAAAAATCTGGAGAACTATAGATCTTAAGTCTGTGTGCTTTGAAGCAACTTAATACCTAGATACTGTCTGCCTCCCCTGTTTGCAGTTGTAATTCGGCTTGAAAGGGGTTCAGTTTAGATCCTCCAGCGGTTCTCATGACGTCTTACCGCAAGGCTCGGTGTTCATTAAATGCTTCAGTCACAGAGCGTCCATATGTGCTTCAGTGGAACCTGGCACTTTAAGATATGCTTGGAGTTTCAGCTAATTCTACACTAGGAAAAGAACGTGCATTTATTCTTTAGATATGTACAGAAAATAGGATCCTTGACCTGCAGGAACAAATCAGAGGTAGCAGCCATCTCCATACCATACAGATACTATGTCTATCTACGTATTTGTCCCTAAATTTTTCCTTTTAGTTTGTTTCGTTTAGTTTTAAAGGTCTGGTTTATCTGAAACCTATCATGGGAAAAACAGTTGCCAGAGGTTTGGCAGAAATGCAGCGTCCATTTCCTTGGTAATTAAAAACATTTACATTTAAAAGTATATATTACTTAATTAGGTAAAAAAAAAATTTTAGCAACATTTTTTGACTTGCCAAGTTTTAGAAGGATTTTTGAAGTAAATATTCTTGGGGAAAAAATGTATTATTGGAACTATATGCCTAGTTTTAAGTGACCTATCTGGTGCAGTTCCATCATTTTAGGAATGGCTAAGCTGCATTCCAGAATGCTTAAATAATGTTATAGGATACAGATTTGATTAGTAGCAGATTACAGTTAAAAAATTTGAAATTCAATAAGGAAATGGTTTTAAACTGCAACGCTGGTGATCTTCGTAAATAGAAGTCACTGCCATGTGCTTTAACTTGGCTTTTTTCCCACTGTAATTGATTTTTGCTCTCACATACTGGTAAGTTTCTTTACGAATAGTATCTATTCATGGAACAAATTGGCTCAGCTCACACATATGGCCTTCAGTTAGAAAGCGGAATGAGGTATATTGACTTGCTGAAAATCAGCCTCTTGCGAAGTCCTCATTAGTATCGTTGTCTCATCAAGAACCTTGAGTCTACACGGGCAGACTTGATATGTACATGGGTTTCGTAGAATCTTTACCAAGTTACTGAAAGAAATGGATGCGAAGACTCTTTTCCTGCATTGTGTCAGTTGTGCTATCTTTCCCAATGTAATTTTGCAGATTTACTTTACGCAGAACTCTGCCAAGATGCTTTTATTCCAGTGTGCTAAAATTTATTTGAGAAACAAATAACGGTAACTTTGTAAGCATTGATATTTCATACTTCAGAAACTATTTAAGGATTGGATTTTTTTCATGTTAATTCAAATTTTATATATGAAAAGGCATTTTTCCTTGCTTTTTTTGTTTCTGTATTAACCATTTTAATGGTGACTTGATTGAATTTTGAGTCATGTGTGAAACAAGTCACTTGAAGTTATAATAGGAGTATTAATTTCACTCAGGAATAGTTTCCTGATCTAGAAGCAGTCATCTTGTTTTTAGTTAATTGGCTCATTGTATTTGAATTATGTCAGTTCCCAACTACTTCAAAAGTACACGTTGCATTTTCAGATGCTCTATGTCAGTTTACAAAGTTAATGTTTATATTATTTTTCCAATATATGTGATTTATTATTTTAAAACATGGATTTATAATTTTTTTTTGAAAAATCAAAATTCTCCACTTTTGTAAATGGAATAATTTTTTCACAAAATACTCTACCCATGAGGAATCCAATTGGCTTGGCAAAGAATTGCTTTCGTGGTATTTTTTAAGTGTATTTGTAATTTAAATCTATTATATTTGTTTTTAAGCTCTGACATAGTGTCAAAATTGTGGGTGTGTTTGGAGTGTAATTACTTACGCTAGGTACTTGCTACGTTTATATTTTAAAATTCATGTCTTGTTTCACACCCAGATTCCAAGCATTATGCATGTATTTTATCTGTGTATCAGTATTCCAAATATTGAAATCATTTTAAAAGGGACTGTTAACAAATCTAGTCACCCATAACTAGACCATGACTGACTTTTCCACAGGGGAAGAAGAGGTGAAGGTTTCGACCATGCCACTGTCAGCCTCTTCCCATTCATTACAACAAGGACAGCAGCCTACAAGTCTCCACACTACTGTGGCCTGACAACAGAACTGAGAGGAGAGGATTAGACTCTGGGGTGCTTGCATGGGCAACCGGATTTTTGCATGATTCCTTTCTGATTTTGCATTTAATGTATACATCCAAAAGAGCCAATATAAACGTTCCTCATGCCTACAACTAGTGTGTTACCTCATAGTTGCTAAAGTATTTTATTAGGCCTTTAACATTACTTATTAGCATAATGATTTTGGCATTGTTTTTCGTGAGTGATGCTCTTTTTAACTCAAAGAAATAAACTTGTAGTACTAATTATGATCCCAGATGAGATTAGCTAGAGCTGTTCTTCTTTTGGCTCTATTATTGAAAATAATACAAAGGTAGTGGTAGTTCTTTGTTTTCTGATTTGTGAAAAAAAAAAGTAATATTCTTATCTACTGAAAAATTTGGAAATTAAGAAGCTAATGTCTGTTGCATTCTTTGAATACTTGAGAAGAAAGAATACATATAAATCAAAATTGGTGGTGTCAGTGAATTCTTAGAAGGATGTTGTCAGCAATTGTCTTAGTTGTTTGGATTTATATCCTTCAATTATGCATTACATGTGTAGAAACGGTTGTGTTCTCATTTGCACACTTGCACTTTCTTTTTGAATGCTTGTTAATTATACATAGATGGTTGAAAGATAATAATTATTGTAGCCTAAATGCAATATAATCTCTTTTTGAATGCACTGCCTAGTATACCAGGAAATGCCTCACAAACAGAATTTCAACTTAATAAGTTGACTCATCAGAAACTTGAATATGGGATAAACATTGTATGTGAGAAGTAACCGTAGTTCCACATTTTTTACTGAACAAACAATAATTCTGTGTTGTATCTGTTTGACAATTTCATTGTTTAATAATGTGTGATTAAGCACCTGACCAGATGAGAGTAAAGTGAAAGACAACAGATTGGATGCCTTCCGAAATTAGGCCACATAAATTGTAACACATAATCATAGTAGACAATGGAGTATTTTATTGGACCAGAATAATGTGATGTTTTTTTGATTAAAAAATTTTTTTCTTGAAATAATTTTAAAACTGATGAAGAAATTCAGTTTAGTTCTGAGCTCTTGGCAAAAGCTGAATCAGGAAACATGAATTCCTAAATGAAGCATCTGTGAAGAAAGGGCAAGTCAGACCTCCCCTTGAGGTATGGGAAAAAAAGCATTTGTGATATGAAGTCTGCCTCAGTTTATTAAAAACAAACATACAACATGAAAGGCTTTTGTGAATACCCAAATGAAGCTAAGGTTTAAATTAATAAAATATCCAAGGAGCTAATACTAACGTCATATTGAGTTGGAATTTTATATGTAAAATCAGTTTGTTTTTTATTAAATATTATATATACAATAAATTAAATGGCTTTATCCCCACGTGTGATGAGGTAAGCAATCTTCTCATAGGTGTTCTTAGTTTGGGTTAACTGGATGCAGAAACAACCCGTTATTTTTGAGTTATTGTTGTCAAATTCAGGATAACTATGAGCCTTTACTTTCTATTCAGAAGTGTTTTTACATAAGGAAATTGAAACATACAGTGAAGCATTGTAAATGTATTAAACATCAGCCTTTAATCAGCGCTTCTGTTAATTATGATTCTGATTTTTCGTTCTAAGTGGCCAGTACTTCATTTGTGTCTCCTGTGGGCCTAGGCTCCTGCACTTTGTTCACAAACTCTGACTTCCCATCATGATCCTTATCATCTCCTAGTGTTTTCCAGCCTTCATCATTAGCCTTCCATCATCTGGATCTTCTTACAAAGCCGTGGCAGATATCTAGCTCTTACTCATCACTTCTTTCTTTGGAGAGATACATGTGTTAAGTACCTCTTCTTCCCTGGGAGCTTTCTCTGTTTTTTTCTTGATCGTGCTTTTGTAGAAGAACTGTTAAGTCATTTGCCTGGTCCTGCCAGAGACCTGGATAAAATCCATCTCTGTACCTGCTTGCTTCCAGGCACAGCACAGGAAATCAAACCAGTCCTTTGAAGCAATTAGGTTTCAGCTTTAAAACACATTTTTTAACCTAGAATGACAAATAATGATCTTTTAACACACTTTGTAATTGCTATGCCTTGTAAGCCTCGTGTTTTTGCTTACATGTCTCATTTTACTCGTTCTTTAAGTTCCAGTCTTAAAAAATCATAGTGGTGATTAATTTTGCATAGAAGAAATTACACATCACATAGATGAAGTATCACTTCACATCACTGCTAAATTGAAACCAAAATGCTGATAAGATTAAATTGTGATAAATTTGCTCCAAGTTTGGTGTTGACCAATTCCCACATGATCCATCTTGTATGAAAAAAACCATTAGGTACACTTACATCCTTAACTTTTATAAAGTGACATGTTGTTTCCTTAACACGGGAATTTTTAACCTGGTGTCCCTAACTATATAGAAGTACATACAAACTTAGGGGTCTGTGGGTGTGTTTTCCTCCGGCAAGAAGACCCACAGTTAGTAGATGTGTTGGCCACCTCCTGAATAATAGTAATAAAAAGTTTCAAAATGCTGTCTTGAAATGTTTTTAGTGCCACTGTAAGAGTTCTGCACCAAATGATTTCAGGTCTCTGATGAATGTCAAGTGCCTCTTTACTTTTCTTAAAGACTCTATTATAAAATATTTTGATTAATGCTGCTTTCTCTTTCATTCTGCTGTTGGATTTTGTTTTTTTTTTCCCGGTGGTGCTTTTGTATATTGTCTTATTTCAGCAGAGTATTATTTGATTACTTGTTCTGTGTGGTGATCTGAATTACATCTTTAGAGATACAAGACTGAATAAAATATGGACTGTATCATGAACTATAATACTCTAGTGGCAGCCTTATTTCACATTTCTGACAGATTTGTTCTTGATGCATTTTAAACAGTGTTAGCAGTCCAGAACCTATTCACTATTCATCACTTAATACCTGCTTTATTACTGGCAACAATGGAGTATTGAATATTGCACTTAAGCTGTTAAATGCCTAATAATTTGGAGTAAGGTACAAAAACCTTAACAGGAAAGACATACGCCTTATTCTAATTTATGAATGTGTATGCTTATGTCTCTTACTCCTTAATTAGCATCCTGGGCGTTAGATAGGACCTTCTATATAATGACCCCTTTAAAGAAAACAACTTTGATGCATTTGGGCTGTGTGCTTTTCTGCAACATGGCTCCTTTTCCTTGGTTATAGTCGGAGTTTCCTTCCTTCTGCTGTGACAGAAGCCTATAGGGAGGTATCTCCACACAGGCGTTATCTCAGAAAATCAAAAGAAAGGGCCAAATCGCAAATACATTCAACATGTTCAAAATCAAGATCACTGTGCTGTGCATGTTTTCAAGCCAGCTGGCAAACACTCACCCTGTGTTGAGTTGTAAGATTTTATGTTTTTGTCTGTGTGTGTGCTTATTCAACTATAGGATTTTCCCAGTCTGATTATCACTGATAGATTAGTGTCATACAGTTGAAAATGTGTTTTTTTTCCTTTTAAGTTACTTTACAAAGCAATAATCCAAAACAGCAATATATGTGTCTTTATTCTTCAAAATTGGCCGAGGTCAGATTGGCTGGTTTTAAGCGAGGCATTTTCCTTTTGTGCTGGATGTTTCTGTCAGAATGAGTGTCTGTCATGTGACAGCAATATATCCAGGCACTCACACATGGAATGTTCAGTGAATAAAATAAATCAGATACTCTACTGATACAAACGTAAAGATAGGAATAAGTGTAAAAAGTGCCTGTGAGCTAGTAAAGGTGCAGACTTTAAGTTGTGTGGAACTTAAAAAAATATCTTTTAAAAAATTAAATGTATATAAATAAAACACACATATGTGTATAAACATATATATGTATGTATACCTGAGAATGTGTATATGTATGAGCTCCCAGGTACTGACTACTAGTGAGATGCCCACAGAGGCCAGAGCGGAGAGCTGGGATGCAGTTGAGGTCTCCCACAGGGATGGCAGGAAGCCATCACAGGAATTGTCACCACTGCCGCCTCGAGTCTGGAGCCGGAACAGGAATCAGGGCGGGGTACAGAACCCAGGTATTCTAATAGGTTACATGCGTGTGCCAGCTGGCATCTTAACCACGCAGCTCAATGCTTGCTCCTGCTAGGACTTCTCAATTCTGGAAGATGGCTTAGGTTTAGGTGAAGACAAGGAAACTGTGTATAATGAAGGAGACAGAACCAATCTGGGACCAGAGACAGAAGTGAACATAGTCTGTGAGGGAGGGACAGTATCCTACAGATAGACTTGGCCAGGTATACAGGTCCTGCAGGCAAGCACAAAGAAGAGTTCCTAAAGCCTTGAGAATTCAACTGGTGTTATCTTAGTATGGATCTCTTTGGCAGAGATGTAACATGATCGCAGTATTTTAATAAGAGTGATTCTGTAACACGTTAGTGCAGTTTGGACCAGTTAGCAGTTTTAATCTGCCATTGTTGGCCTGTGCAATTAAATTGGTCTGAATTAGACTAATAACTGTTAGAATAGAAACAGAAATTAAGAACTGGAAATGAGAAAGCTTAATAAATAAGAAAAACTTTTAGGTTTGGCTAAGTTGATGATCTTTAAAAATGTGATTTTTTTTTTTTGTAAAAGGCTATAGATTGGAAGCCAGATTTATAGGATTCATGTGGCATATGTATACAGCAATTACTGAAATTTTAAAAAAATATTTATTTTGTGTTTATTGGAAAGGTAGATTTTACAGAGAAAAGGAGAGACAGAAAGATCCTCCATCCCCTGGTTCATTCCCCAAATGGCTGCAATGGCCGAAACTGAGCCAATCTGAAGCAAGAAACCAGGAGCCCCACCTTTCTCATGTGCATGGTGCCAAAGGCTTTGTGCCAGCTTTCGTTGCTTTCCTCAGACCACAAGCAGGGAGCTGAATGGGAAGTGGCGAGCCAGGTCAACTGGCGCCCACATGGGATCCTGATGCTTCTGGGGGGGAATTAACCAACTCTGCCTGGCCAAGTCATTGACTTCTAACTAGTTGGGTGGTAGATCTTAGCATCACTTTAATATGAAGAAGATAGATAATATATAATGGCCAAGCATAGAGGGCCAATTTAGAGACTGAAGAAGAGATAGGCTGAATCAGTGGCAGATGCAGAGGCCCTGCCAAGACACTTGTATCGTTAGAGAGGTGGGATATGTCTTCCTCTGCGCTGTAACAAGCAATGAGAAGATCAGGGAAAGAGAAGCTAAGATTCTAGAAAATGAGAATTAGATGAAGGGACTAATATTAGAATGCGTTATTGGTTGAGAATGAGAGTGGAAGAATGGAATTGGGATCCTGATAAGATTAAACAATAACACATGAGAATTAGCTTAGAATTATGTTCGAAATAAAGAATTTGTTATGTGAAGATGAGTGAGCTTCAAGTTTTTAACCACTGGATATGGATGGTTTTATATTATCCTGTGGCTTAACCCAAAGTAACAGGAATGGGGAAAGCAAATATTTGGAGTTTTGTTCGAAAGGGAAGAAGGAGACAAAGCATTTAAAAAGACAACATTGAAATACTTTGTCTTGTAAGTTCATTTTGGCAGTTGCCTGTGAAATAGTGCCGTTACTGGTGTGGAGAGATTTCAGTGATTTGATTTGATGAGAGAAAAGAGCAAGGTGATATTGAGTGGTGGTAGTAAGGAGTGATGAGATGATTTAGTCAGTGCAGTCTGGAGGTTGGAAAGAAGACTGGCTTTGGTGAACATTTCTCACTGCCCACTTCCTTGAGAGTTAGGAATACATGAGAGAGTTGTAAGAAGCATGATATTGCCTGGGGACTTCTGGGTTAGATTTCCTGCAGATTGGAAATGATCCAAAAAGGAGCTGTGAAAAAGCATGAAAGGGGAGGATGCTTGACTGGTGGCAAAGCTCGGTAAAGCCAGCCAAAGATGAGACAGGTGTCAGCAAGCCCAGCAAGAACAAGGCATTGGCGAGAGCATCACCTTCCGTGAGAATGACTTAGGCTGAAGGAGAAGGTAGGGATGGGAATGAGTGAGTCTGGCAGGCGCAGAGCCTTTGTTGCAGGTGAGCTAGTGTCAGAAACAAAATAGAAACTTGTTTTTGTTGTTAATATGGACATTCCACCTGTACAAAGGAAACATATTTCTCCTTACATAATTTGATTAGGCTATTCCATTTTATCCATACAGCAAATTAGAATGGAAAGCTATATGCTAATGAAAAGCAGAGAGAAGTTATAATTGGTCACAAAAAATATTTTGATAATTCTCCCAAAGAGAATGTGCTGTGTGAGTGAATAAAATTTTGAAATTATGTGATTAATCTCATTGCTTAATATTTCATGTAATTAAAATGCAACCTTTAAGGAAAAAAAAACTGAAGATCTAGTAAAGCAGAAATGAAAATGTTACATAAATGAAGGTACTTCAAGAAGTCTGAAAAATGGAATGAAAATGTGTGAGGTGTTTGGTGTGTGTGTTGGCTGGGGGAGTTTTGAAATACATAGATTTACACAATACTCATTTTTTAGTTACATTTTGAAGACTTCTAACACATTTCTCCTTAGCCAGTTAACAACAAATTCCTAAATTTGGACGCAGCTTTAGTTTCCAGACACTAAAAAGATTGATTTATTTGAAAAGATTTATTTATTGGAGAGTAAGAGAGGGCTTGGTGGAGTCGCTGAAGTCCTCACTTGCATGCGCTGGGATCCTGTATGGACACTGGATTGTATCCTGGCTGCTCCACTTCCCATCCAGCTCCCTGCTTGTGGCCTGGGAAAGCAGTAGAGGACGGCCCAAAGCCTTGGACTCTGCACCCGCTTAGGGAGCTGGAGGTAGCTCCTGGCTCCTGGCTTTGGATTGAGTGAGCTCCAGCTGTTGTGGCTGCTTGAGGAGTGAACAAATGGGATAAAAGGTCTTTCTCTGTAAATCTTACTTCCTAATAAAAATAAATGAATATTTTTAAAAAGATCTATTTATTTGAGAGTGACAAGGATGGGACCCGGCATGGTAGCCTAGCAGCTAAAGTCCTTGCCTTGCACGCGCCGGGATTCCATATGGGTGCCGGTTCTAATGCTGGCAACCCCGCTTCACATCCTGCTCCCTGCTGTGGCCTGGGAAAGCAGCCAAGGACGGCCCAAAGCATCCATGTGGGAAAACCGGAAGAGGCTCTGGGCTCCTGGCTTCAAATCAGCGTAGCTATGCCCATTGCAGCCACTTGGGAAGTGAATCAACGGATGGAAGATCTTCCTCCCTGTCTCTCCTCCTCTGTGTATCTGACTTCCCAATAAAAATAAAATAAATCTTTAAAACAGATAGATCTTCTGTCTGCTGATTCACTCCCCGAGAGATGGCAACAAGTGGAAGTGAGCTGGATCACAGACAGGAGTCTTGAATTCCATCCACGTCTCCTATATAGATACAGGGACCCAGGGGTTCAAGCCAATGTCTGCTGCTTTCCCAGGTGCACCTGCAGGGAGCTGGACCTGAAGTACTCATCATGATACAGGGTGCTGGTGTCACAGGTGGTGACTTGGTCCACTTGTGTCTCAGTGCCAGCCTATGACACCAGAATATTTTTATAGCTCACTGGCCTGTTTCCATATGAGTTAGCTGAGGCATTTAACAGTAACAATGGAAAGGAAAAAAAAAATAGTAATGCCTCAGGAGTCAGGTCATTGCTTAAGAACGCTGTGTGAAGGCGCGCTGATGGACCAAGCAGCTGCAGCTCCTGGAGCTTCCTTGCTGCCTTGGGAGTTGCTTCTGTAAAGTGTTCATCTGGCTGCTCTGCCTTGCTGGTCGGACCAACCTACAGTTTCCTCAACAGCTATGAATTACTTTGGCCAATTTAAGATTCATTAAGTAAAGGATTTATTGTGTCTTGGTCTCTTAAAGGGCCTATCCTGGGTTTGAATTACACAGAAATCTAGTTTACACCCTTGAGGGCATACACCTGGAGGCAAGTTGAACTGAGAACCCAGGTTCCACGTTCCTCTTGGCCAGGCCTCCTATGCAACTAGCACTTTCGCTGGCTACCCGGCTTTACCTGCCCCTGAGCCTTCTAAGATTCCTAGGAAGCTCCTGGCTGCCCCTGAGACAGACTGTGCCTAGAACAGTGTGGTTTCTACTCTTGGGTGGTCGTCACATCCACTGTTACGCTGTTACAAAGCAATACTTCAGAGATTTTTTTTCTTATGTAATTTTATAAAGTTCTTGTAG